TGCCATCTGGTGCCATCTGGTGCCATGGTGAATCACTTGCTCTGAGATTAGAACAAGGTGCCCAGCAATGATCACATGCCTGTTTCATTCTGACCTCACAGTGACTGATTCATCATGATGGTGGCCGTTCCGGGAAGCACAGTAGGACATGTTGTAAACAGCTGCCTGTCAGGATCTGGGGAGTGGGCAGCCTGGGGTCCGAGATGGACTGCCAAGGCCAAGGTTGGTGAAATTCAGAGAATCCAAGGTCCGGTTATAAGGAGAAGTGGACGATGCTGCATGGCTGTTCCAGGAGCCCCAGCAGCTGGGACTCAGCCAGAGTTCCTGGGGTCCACAGGAGTCCACTGGCTTGGAGACAGGAGGCTGAGTCAGGAAACAGCGTGAAGTTGAAGCAGAGCAAAGCAAAAGTCCAGAAACCCAAGGGGCCAGAGTTCAGAAAGGATGTGGACAAGCTGGAGCATGTCCAGAGGAAGGCAACCAAAATGGTGAAAGGTCTGGAAACCATGCTCGGTGAGGAGAAACTCAGGGAACTGGGTATGTTTAGCCTGGAGAGGAGAAGGTGAAGAAGTGATATCATAGCCCTGATTAAGTATTTGAAAGGGTGTCATATAGAGGATGGGGCAAGTTTGTTTTCTGCTGCACCAGAGAATAGGTTCCGGAGCAATGGATTCAACTTATTGGAAAAGAGATTCCACCTCAATATTAGAAAGAACTTCCTGACAATAAGAGATCATGTAGCACCTTTGAGATCCATGCCCTGTACAGAGCGGCCAAAAGGGCCAGCCTGGGGGTGGAGTCGGGGCATGGTGACCGCACGCTGGCCGCCCTGACTTCGCCCCAATGCTGCGTGCCCCACTGCATGGCGGGCAATGTCAGGGCACTCCCTTAGTGCAGCATACAAACACACTGCACCAAAGGAGTGCAGAAAAACACCACAATGGTGGAAAGGGCAGCTTTTTGCCACTCCAAAAATGAGTGGCATTTGCCAGATCGTTTTGGAGTGGCAAAGTGCCAGATTGGGACCACAGCCCCAATACGGCGCTCCCAGGGGCGGCATGGATTCGCCCCTTAGGGGCCATCTGTAGAGCCCCACACTGAAAGAAAGTAATTGGCAGTGTGAGCTTTCGTAGACTGAAAGCCCCCCACTGAAAGCCCTCGATGGTAGAGCCCCCTACTGAAAGAAAGAAATTGGGAGCTTTCAGTCTACGAAAG